AAACTTGTTGCTCGGAACCACCTTTGTGAGCATATCCGCAGGATTATCCTTCGTGTGGACTTTCATAATTTCCACATCGCCATCTTCAAGAACATCCCGAACGAAGTGATAACGAACGTCAATGTGCTTCGTCCTCGCATGAAAAACCTGATTCTTCGCCAAATAGATAGCACTCATGCTATCACAATGAATAGTGACGGACCTCTGCGATATACCAAGTTCCTCCAAAAGTCCTCGAAGCCAAATAGCCTCCTTCACAGCCTCCGTAACTGCCATATACTCTGCCTCCGTCGTAGACAAAGCCACCGTCGACTGTAAGGTGCATCTCCAACACACCGGCGCACGGGTCAAAGTGAACACATACCCCGTCGTAGACCGGCGCTTATCCAAATCCCCGGCATAATCCGAATCAACATAGCCAATGCATAGCTGCCCACCTGTAGTGTCCCGCTCATAAACCAAACCAACATTGAGCGTACCTCGAATGTACCTCAAAATCCATTTCACAGCGTCCCAATGACCCACTCCTGGATCGTGCATGTATCTCGATACCATGCTCACCGCCTGTGACAAATCTGGCCTCGTACATACCATCGCGTACATCAAGCTCCCAACCGCGCTCGCATATGGAGTCTTCGACATCAACTCACGATCTTCAACTGACTTCGGTGAGAGACCAGCTGAAAGCTTCAAATGGGCTCCCAATGGTACACTAACTGGCTTCGTATCCATGCTAACATGGAATCGCTGTAGAACTTTCTTCAAATAAGCCACCTGTGTCAAACAAATTCTGCCATTTTTCTTGTCTCTGCCGATCTCCATCCCTAAAATGCGCTTCGCCTCGCCCAATTCCTTCATCTCAAACTCATTTGAAAGCTGAACTTTCAACTCATCTATAGCCGACCTGGAAATAGAGGCAACCAACATGTCATCGACATAGAGCAACAAATAAATATACGCACCTCCTTTCAACTTGCGAAAATATACGCAAGGATCAAACTGGCTCCGAGTGTACGAATGACCAAGCATAAAACCATCGAATCGCCTATACCACTGTCGAGGAGACTGCTTCAAACCGTATAGCGATTTCTTCAGTTTGCAAACTAATTTTTCTTTCCCTGCAGCTCGGAATCCCAATGGCTGAGTCATATATATTTCTTCATCAAGATCACCATGAAGAAATGCCGTTTTCACATCCAACTGATCTAATTCCAAACCATACTGTGCCACCAAAGCTAGCAAAATCCGAATCGAAGAATGCTTCACCACCGGAGAGAAAACCTCATTATAGTCAATACCTTCCTCCTGTGCATAGCCCTTCGCAACCAACCTAGCCTTGAATCTCAACGGAGTGCCTTCAATGCCCTCCTTCTTCGTGTATACCCACTTGCAACCAATTGCTTTCCGCCCCTTTGGAAGCTCAACAAGCTCCCATGTATCGTTCTTATGAAGAGATTCCATCTCCTCCTGCATAGCCACCTGCCACGAATCAGCCTCCGAACTCTGCTCGGCCTCTCTGAATGTAGTAGGCACTAACTCATCGATACTCTCCACCGGAAGTGCATACGCAACTGTGTCGGCATACCGTGCTGGCATCTGTATGTTTCTCCTCTGTCTCCTAGCCGCAATAGAATCCTGAACCTGAGCCGTCGGTTCCTGATCCTGCACATTTGTACTCGTATCCTCCGTGTCATCGTCGTGCTCGCCTGGCGTCACCTCAGTCGGCACCTGCATGGATACTGTACCATCTGGACAATGTGGAGCTGCATCGATCTCCACCACCTGCGATATCTCCTCCGTCGGGTCGCTCTCCACCTGATGAGAGCTGGGAAGCTTCAAGATAGAAGCCTCATCAAATGTGACGTCCCTACTCAGAACAATCTTTTTATCAACTGGATCCCAAAGCTTGTATCCCTTGACACCACGCTTGAATCCTACAAATATGGCCTTCCTAGCTCGAGGTTCCAATTTATCAGTTCTAACATGATAATATGCAGGGCACCCGAATACCTTGAGCTGGTCATAGTCATGTGCTGGCTTTCCCGACCACATCTCCATAGGGGTTTTCCCCTCAATCGCAGATGAAGGCAGCCTATTAATGAGGTGGCTCGCATATGTAAGTGCCTCAGCCCAAAAGATCTTCTCCAAACCACTCTGCGACAATAAGCATCGGATCTTCTCCAGTAAAGACCGATTCAACCTCTCTGCCACCCCATTTTGCTGCGGTGTATGACTAACTGTGAAGTGTCTCTCTATGCCCTCGTCTCGACATAGCTGCTGAAAGGGGTCAGAAGTATACTCACCACCGTTGTCGGATCGCAACGTCTTGATCTTTCTCCCAGTCTGCAGTTCCAATCTCTTCTTCCACTCCACAAACAAATCTAGGACTTCACTCTTCTTCGTCATGGTGTACACCCAACAACGCCTAGAATAGTCATCTACAAAAGTGACGAACCAATGTCTACCACCAAGTGATGCAGTCTTGGTGGGACCCCAAACGTCTGTGTGCACGTAATCCAGGATGCCCCTCGTCTGATGAATGGCAGTCCCGAACTTCACCTTCGTCTTCTTGCCAAGAACACAGTGCTCACAGAACTCAATCTTCCCACTCTTGGCTCCCTTCAATAGCCCCTGCTTGCACAATGTCTGCAGTGACTTTTCACCTGTGTGCCCCAATCTATAGTGCCAAAGTCTGCTCATGTCCGCTTCTGAAATAGCCGAAGCAACCTGGCCAATCTCGGTGCTTCCCTTCAGATAATACAAATTCCGATTGCGGACTCCCCTCATCACCACCAATGATCCCTTAGTAACCTTCGCTACAGCGTTTTCGAAAGTCACCTTGAATCCCTTCGCCTCCAAAGCTCCAACTGAGATAAGATTTTTCTTCAGTTGAGGAACAAATCTCACCTCCTTCAACTCACGGACTACTCCATCGTGCATCCTAATCCGCACGGTACCTATCCCACAAACGCCACAGGATTGATCATTTCCCATGACAACAACGCCCCCGTCGACTTTCTCAAAAGATGCAAACCAGTCTCGCCTAGGGGTCACATGAAAGGTAGCGCCGGAATCAAGCATCCAATCTGATGCATCCACATGGTTCACCTCCGGAGTAATCAGTAGAGAAAAGCACGAATCATCGGAATCATCGCCTTTCGCAATGTTCACCTCATTGGCCTTCGGGCCCTTTTTCTTGCTATTCTCCTTCTCTTTGAGCTTCGGGCAGTCTCTCTTCCAATGTCCCTGCTCCTTGCAGAATGCACATTGGTTCTTTGTTAGTTGGTGACGGCCTCTAGACTTTGACCTCCCTCTGTTACCACCTTTCGGATATGGGCTTCTACCTCTTGTCGACAAGGCCTCTCCTGAAGTACTAGCGCGGGAAGTCTCCTTATCCTTCCTCCTCAAATCGTAGTTCGTCAAAGCGTTAGTCACTTCACTATAGCTGATAGAAGATCTCCCGTTCAACAAAGTGAGCACGAAGGTATCATACTCCTCATCCGGTAAGGAGCCCAACAAAATAATCGCCTTGTACTCATCCGATATCTTCTCATCAACATTCGCCAAGTCCGACAACAACTTCGTATAGTTGTTCACATGAGCCGCAAGCGAGGTGCCTCTGGACATCTGGAATCTGAATAACCTACGCAGCAAGTGCAATCGGTTCTCAACACTCTTCGTAAGGTACTTATTGTTGAGAATTTCCCACATCTTCATCGCAGACGTCACCCCAATCACATCATACTTCAGCTCCTGTTCCAAACAGGACCTGATCACCCCACAAGCGTTCCTATTCATTTTCTCCCATACCGCCTCTTCATATTTAGGTGGCCTCTCGTGGACCATGATGGTCTCTTCCAAATTCTGAGCATTTAACGCATCCTGTACGTCGCTCATCCACAAACCAAAGTTGATTTTTCCGTCATATTTCACCACACTAATTTTGGTGTTTTGAAAACCAACTTGTATTGTACCCGCCATCGATTTGCTGCTTTCACCTTCTTCTCCCATTGCGAACTAACTCCAAATTGTAGAGAAAGAACAAATTTGATAGAATTAGGAACCACCCAACTGAACCCTAGATCGGATTCCAAATAGATCTCCTATCCACACGAGGAAAGCGAAATCTCCAACGGCAACTCCTAATGCTATCTCCACCGAAGCCGAGAACTCCAAGAACTAAGCTTCACACAAGAATCTTCCTCCACCAAAAAACCCTAGATCTGAAATCTGGGCTCTGATACCACTTGTTGCGCGCAGCGGAAATTTCGGCAGCACTTCGGCAGCACAACAAGAGAGTCAGGTCGCAATAAGAATTCTTGTTTCTCAAAGGGAACAAGAATCTGAAGCCTATATCCTATCAAAGTAGGATATTAGCTCTTCCTCTCGTCAGCTCTAGGACTGCGCGTCGAGGGACCCTAAAAGCTATTACAAATCACACAAAAGCAGTACAACCAATTTTAACGTGGTTCGGCAAATTGCCTACGTCCACGGGGCAAGGAGGGGGGAGATCTACTAATAGAGGGAGAGAATACAACTAGGGTTTACAACAACTCACAATCTAAACCCTCACACAAAACTCTCAAATCCCTCACAATATCTCTCTACAAAAGAACAAAAGCCTACACACAAAACTCCTATTGAATTCTGGAGTTTTCTTCTGCAGCCGCCGCCTAAAATTAACCTCTGCTTTTGCTTTTGTTCTCCCGCACAGCCACCAATCTTTTTCCGCAAAAGATTCCTTCAATTGCACAAGTCTGCAGCCGCCCAAACCCCACAAAAAACTCCTTGGCACGAAAACCTAAAAAACACAAACAGCTATATATATATATGAGTATTCGGGTGGGCCGGCCTTGGTTCTCTCTTCACGCGTGATTGATTCACGGTTTTGTTTTTCTCCTCCTCACGTGGGTTGTGGCCCCCACATCTTCACAATGTCAGATTCACATTGCCATGATAATTCATATTTCACTGGACCATGATGCTCTAATTTGCTTCAGGTTAAGATAATGAAGGCAGAAAGAGATGTTTACGCAGCTGAGGTCGGTGACAAGGTAGCAGTGAAGATCGGACCTGGATATTATGAACCATCAGGTCCGAGGAAATGGAACTTGGCTGCAGAGGGCAACGACTACAAAGTATGGGAGGCATTGTAAGCTATATGTACGACCATCTCTAACCAAATCACTATTTGACCATAAATTGGAAGATTTGCATTAAAATATTAATGTTGTATAGAAAGGAGAAAAATAAAGGAGGCATTGGTTGAACCCCTAGACAACCAGAAATGTCAATAAGGCCTTCAAAATATCTAAGCATCGGAGAATGGGATCGGTGGACGGCATACGTAAAAACAGTGCTTTGGTGTATGTAAATTGTCAATGTTATTTTATATTAAACGGACGAACCATAGTTTATCAAACTGATGCATCACTGTACAAATAGACGGTTAAAACTTAAAAGTATTACGGTTAATTATGTTTTACATATAGAAAGTTCTATCCATAATGATAGTTTGTACTTGAAATTTTTAATATTTCTAAGACTAGATGCGTGTCAGTAAGTGACTTCCATCCATTCATATGCTACCTTTTTAGCCGTTTAATGCAAGCTGAGGATGTGTTATTTTATTTTTAACCACGTAGTCGGACTTGTGATTATATCCAAAGCATTTTTCTTTGAACATAGAAATGTATCATTCATTATGGTATATCACTTTACAATGTGTAAATACAGCATAAATATGTCTATGGTAGAGTCACACGCTTATCTCATCTTCCACTTGTCCTCAATTTCTGAGAAACATAAAACCCAACAGAAAATGCCGCGATTGCCACAACGATCACCTTCCTGTTCCTGTTCAGTTTCTCCAATATCCCATCTACTGATCCAGAGTCCAGCCTACCATCTTCACCCCCTGTCCAAATAGATATCCTCTTTATAATTTCTTTCGGTTTATCTGCGCAAATCTCCATTATCTTCGACTTCATCTTTTGCATGGTCTTTTGCGCTCTCTCCTTCTCCATTGAACTAGGCATCACCGTTTCCTTTTGAATGGAGTCCTCCTCCTTCTTCTCTTTGAAACTTTCTGACTTCTCCTTTCCAGCAGGCTCATCTTTCTTCTCTTCTCCATTCTCTAGCTTTTCCTTAAGCACATGACCCTCTTCTTTCTTATCATCTTCAGGTTTCGGGGTCTCCTTTTGAGTCAGTTCGCTTAGCTTCTCTTCGAAAGCTTTAGTAGGCTTCTCCTCTGGCATCTGTTCATCCTTTCTCTCTTCTAGACTGTCTGGCTTCTCCTCAACAGCTTCATCCTTTTCTTCTTTGTCAGCCTTCGCCTGTTTTTGAGTAGCTTCTTCCTCTTTCTTCTCGTCTTCGATTGATTCTCTCTCCCTAACAGGTTCATCTCTTTCCTGCTTGGTGGTCGGTGTCTCTTTCTGAGGGACTTCTTCCTCTTTCTTCTCTTCTTGTATTGATTCTTTCTTCTTCTCTTCAGTGGTAGCCTCCGGAGTTGATTCATGTTTTTCCACCGCCCTTTTCGGCAAGGTCAAGGTGAGACGTCCATCCTCGAACTTTCCACTGATCTTTTCAATGATGGTGTCTTTGGGTATGTCGAACGTCTGATCCACGTCAAGGTACTTGTTATCGGTCACTTGGCTGCTGGCCTTGACTAAAAGCTTCCCAGCAGTATCAAGTGTTACCCTGATCTCCTCCCTTTTGAAACCTTAGGGGGAGAAAAGGAAAAAGAAAAAGAAAGATGAGGGCTCTTGTTCAAATTCGTTATTATGGATAAATTTTACGAGCACATTTGAACTTTCAAAGTTATACTAAATCCTCTGAACTATCAATCATCATAACTGATGTTAACGGGTAGAGTAATAGCTTTGAATAATCACAAGTTAAAATTTCATGAATAAGGAACATAATGTGGGAGAACAAGACACGAAAAACATGTCAAATTTTTAGAGTTTTCTGCACGTTAACACCGTTATGAGGTTATCAAATAGTTCAAGGGGGCCTAAGATAAGTTCTGGAGCTTGAGGGGTTTTCTCAGTTTATGTAGTTCAGAGGGGTTTTGTGATATTTGTCTATTCATTATTCAACAAAGGAATTTTTTTAAAAAGACCGTTTTTGAAACTTTATTAGCAAAATCGACCTTTTATGGATTTAATTAGTAAATCGATCTCTTTGGTCGACTTAGCAAAATGTAGTTTTTAAAATGCATTGTAATTAGTGTTGGTTAATCACATGGTAATTAAACTTTAAAAATATGTGAGACTTATTAAACTTAATTAGGTGTAATTAGGTACCACTAAATACACGGGATAATAGTCCCATGTATTTTAAAGCTTCATTTTCGCAAAATCGACATCTTTTTGGCCAATTGGCTAAAAAGAAGTCGTTTTTGCTAATTATATAAAAAATAGAAAGATTTTGCTAATAAAGTTTCAAAAAATATCTTTTTTTTTTAATTCTCCTTCAACAAAATGCATACCTGTTAATTGCATGATAAGTTTACGTTCTGATGGGTCTTCGAACCATTGGACCTCAGGCTTGAAATCCTCACGCGTCGCTGAAGGCTGGCCTTTGAAAGTAGGCCTTCTTGATCTCAATTTATCCATGAGTACTGATTATCAAGAGGTTGTAGTGTTTATGCTTGGTTTTGAGTTATATCTTAGTTTTTCACTATATTTATAGGTTTGTGCCTGCTGGTGCGAAAATTTTCTAAACTTGTTCCAAGCTTTGCTTGTATGAGAATTCTCTTGTTTTCTTGGGGAAGGGAAAGTAGAATTCCTTACTTTTCCAAGTTCAAAAGATAGCCCACCTTGTTAGTCTTATTTCTCTACGGAGGGAAGGTAGAAAAAATTTGCGGGGTTTGCTTCTTGGCTGCACAAGCTAAATATGATAAATTACAAAAGTCACCATAGGGAATACTTATCATTTGTAGGAAATGCTTCTGAGGTCTGTAGAATTCACAGAGAACACCCGTAAAATTTCAAAATGACAGTTTGATTGTATATTTCAGTTTCTTTTATAACAATTATTTATACTCCCATGTAAAAACATATATAATTATTATGTTGAAATGTCGATGATTATTTGAATAGAAATTGAAGATAAGAGGACACAGCGTCACTAGTTTCTTGTGATTGAACAAACCTTAAGCAAATCTTCTGTAATGTATTCGATAAAGTTTCAGTGACATTCTTGATTGCTGGCAACCTGGCGTCAAACTGTTCTTGATGAACCTTCATCTTTCAGCTGAGCCGCTCCATCTCTTAGGAGAACATTTCTGATCCTGTGCAGTTCATTGATGACTTCCCCTATCTCCATTCTCTCCGCTGGTACTTCAATTGAACACGCAATGCCAATTCGAAGCACTGAAGCTATACACTTTATAACTCTCGAACCATTCACACTCCGATCATTATCGGTCACTTGATCATCGAGCAGTTTCACATTGATGATATCTGCAACTCTTTCAGGAAATGCCATCTCCACAAAGGTCCGAAGGCTTTGACCGTCCACGAAAATGTCATCAGTGGGACTTTTTCCAGTGAACATTTCCAGTACAAGTATCCCGTAGCTGTACACATCTCCTAGTGTTGACACTTTGTTCGCCATTCCATACTCTGTTTCAATTGAACGATACGCAGGTGCTTTAATATGCAGCATAAAGATCAAAATCTGCATAATTAAGGATATAAAGATTCAGGTTAATTGTGAATAGACCCCATACCATCCCCTGTGTTCTGTTATCGCGATAGACCTCCTCAGTGTAAAATAGTAAAAAGTTCACTTAGGGAGTCTTATCTGAAACAATAGAACTGCGGAGTTCAACCGCAATTGGGCGATAGCTTAGGGGGGTCTATCCGCAATTAATTGTAAAAGTTATTACCTGGAGGAACATATCCGATAGTTCCTTTCAAACCAAAAGAGCTTGTTGAGTACTGAGAGGACTTGCTGGCAATTTCTTTGAGAAACCTTGAGAGCCCAAAATCACCCAAATGTGCAGTCATATCATCATCAAGAAGAACATTGCTCGGTTTCAAATCACAATGAACAATAGGTTGCTCACCATAATTGTGCAGATAATCCAACGCTGAAGCTACATCAATGGCTATGTTTATCCTCTTTACGAGGTCCAGTTTCTTTTCATTCTCTTCGGAATGCAACCAATCATATAAGCTTCCATTAACCATGAAATCCAAAATCACGGCTTTAAACTCATTACCACTAAAATCGGTGCTTGAACATGCTGTCAGGATCTTAACAAGATTCCGATGCCTGATATTTCTCAAGGCTCTGCATTCTGCTAGAAAGCTCCTGGATGCTCCTTGCATTTCAAGGTTCAGTACCTTCACGGCGATAACTTTCAAGTTATCGTCATCTTCATGGAGAATGCCTTTGTAAACTTTTGCAAAGCTTCCACTTCCAATTAGATTATCAGTAGAGAATCCATTTGTTGCTCTCAAAAGTTCAGCATAAGATACTCTATCTTGCTCAGTCATGGATTCTGAGTCTAGCTGTTTTCTTCTTGATTTTTGCATCCAGCAGGATGCAACTAGAAAAGAGAAGACCACAAACAAGAGCGCAAATGACCCAGCAACTGATATGATCGCTATGAATCGATGAGAGTCATGCCTCTTGTTTAGAGATTGAGAGGGGCATGCTGTCAAGTTCAGTTCTGGAATCCCTCCACAGAGCTTGCTGTTCCCACTTACATAAAGTGCACTTGTGTTGGTAAAAACCCCAGTTCTTGGAACTGCGCCCTCGAAATTATTGAAAGAGAGGTTGAGATAGAGTAGGAAATGAAACTCCTCTAAAAATTCCGGAATTGTACCTGACAAGTTGTTGTTTGAAAGATCGATGTATTGAATGCCTCTTAAAGCACTCAGGGATGAAGGGATTTTTCCATGAAAGAGGTTCCCGCGAAAGAAAAGCTCTTGTAGCTCTAAGCACCCCCCGAGACTACTAGGTAGTTCTCCAGACAATCTGTTCATACTAACATCAAGCATTCCCAGGTTTCTCAAGTTCCCAACTTCTAACGGTATTGACCCTGTAAGTGAATTGAATGCCAAGGATAGACTGATGCTGAGGGTGGATATGGCAAGAATCTCTTTGGGTATGCCACCGGTAAGGCTATTGGAATTGAGATTCAACAGATTTAGATTCTGGCAATTTCTGAGACTTCCTGGTATGTTCCCGCTCAATTGATTGTAGTCTAAGAAAATAGCAACAAGTTGAGTGAGGTTGCCGAGGGTGGATGGGATCTCTCCAGAGAGCTTGTTATTATTAACATCCAATTCATGCATGTGTTGGAGCTTCCCAATAGAGGGAGGAATTGAACCTGTGAGCAAGTTTGGACCCAAATCCAAGTTCGTCAAACCAATGAGGTTTCCTATCTCTGCCGATATTTTTCCCGATATCCCATTATCTCCAATAGTTAGTAGCTGAAGCTCAGTGGAAAGGTTTGTGATGGAGTATGGCAGAACTCCACCAAGCTTATTAGAGTCTAGCTGAAGAACCTGTAAATTGGTACAGTTGGTCAAACTATCGAGAAAGCTCCATCCACCGGCTTCCTTAGCTTCTAAAAAGTTGTTACCGAAATTTATCCATTCTAAATTCGATAGGCTTCCTATGTTCCAAGGGATTGTACCACTGAACCTGTTGAAGGAAAGATCGATTCGTATAAGACTGGATGCATTGGATAACGACACCGGGAGAGCTCCGTGAATTTGGTTATTGAAAAGGTCTAGTGTTTCAATCAGAGGAAGAGCCTGGCCTAAAGATTGTGGAAGTGAACCCGATAGATTATTATAACCCATAGAGAGGCGAGTAAGAGATGACAGATTCCATACCGAAGAGGGAATATTTCCTGTAAGATTGTTGCTGAGAAGTCCCAATGCTGTCAGTTTCGAGAGTTTTCCAATTGAAGGAGGAATGGCCCCCGATAACTGGTTATTAGCTAGTGAGAGATAAGTGAGAGAATGTAGGTTTCCTATTGAACCTGGGATGCTTCCAGCAAGTTCGTTTGAGCTCAAACTTAGTACTTTCAGGTATGAGAGGTTCGTCAATGAAGGTGGTATATTTCCTATAAGGCTGTTATTGCTCAGGTGTATGAGTCGAAGATTCCAACATTTGCTGAAACCAAGTGGAATCTTACCTGTCAGCAGGTTATCACGCATACTGATGTTTCTTAACTGCGAACAATTAGACAGCGATTCAGGGATACCTCCTTGGAGAGAGTTCATGCTCAGATTGAGATGCTGAAGTTGGATGATATGACCGACCTCTTTGGGGATGAACCCATGAAATTGGTTATTAGAAAGATCGATGTTTCTGAGAAATGTGAGGTTGGCTATGGCAGGTGATATCGATCCAGAGAGACCGAGAGAGCTGAGAACCAACGAGATGACTCTACGAGGGTGCTTTCGGCCACTGCAAGTGATGCCTGTCCATTTGCAGAAATGGATGGAGTTGTTCCATGAGGATAATGATTGTTTAGGGTCATTAGCTAGCATGGACTTGAAGGAGAGGAGAGCAAGCTGATCGGTTGCATGGTTGAATTTTGAGAGGGAAGTGAGTATTAAAGCTGCATAAACTAGGAGAAATGAGCAAAATTTTGCCATGAGGAATTTCTCAAGGTTGTAAGATGACAGCAAATGATGTATTCATTTATGCTCACAAATGGGTATTATCTCTAGGAAGCTTGATCTCCTTGGCATTGATAGAAGAGCGTGGTTTGCAAGTGGAGTGGGTCATTGACCTTAAGCTCATTCAGTGGAAAAAAGAATCTTGAAATTGGTTGGCAAAAGTCCAAGTAGCTGTATATTATGGACTAAAAATTTATATCTAGCTGCTTCAGTCTCAAGAATCAAACACTGTGTTAGATAACCAAAAAGGGCAGCAAATGGTCTGGAGAAAGACCTTCATATTTCAAGGTCATCTCCTCTTGTCATTATTGAAGCCCTCGTCTCCAGGCTCGCTAATATGCTGTTTTTTTTGTGTGATCATTCATTTTTGATTTTTTTTTTCAACATGAGGAAGGTTAGTCCACATTATCTCTTAGGGCTTGTTTGGATTGAGGGGAATGAGGGTGAAGGGAAGTTAGGGGAACCATTCACCTCCATTCACCTTGTTTGGGAACACGTAGGAGGTGAAGTTAATTCACCCTAGTTCCCCTTGGTTCACCCCCTAATAGTATAAAAATTGTTACCCCCCAAATTGGGGTGTAACCAAGGGGAAGGGAACTCCCTTTCCTTCCCTTCCCTTCCCTTCACTCAGTTTCCCTTAACTTCTCTTCACCCCCTACAAATCCAAACAGGCCCTTAGTCCAGTGTATTTCTATAATAATTATTATACAGCTGCTTTATCTTTTATCACCTGAAACTCTGTGTTAAAGTAAGAGAGAGAGAGAGCTTGGGTAAATTTCCCTCGAGTTGAATATTGAGTGTGCACATATATTTATACAAGTAGAAGAAGGTGATGTGTGTTCTCACAACCAAAATGGGACTAAAAACCTACTACTAACACTATTATCAACACCCCCCCTCAAACTCATGTTGGATCAAACAAAGTGAGTTTGTGTACAAGAAACAGGAACCGATGAACAAGTAAGGCCATTGTAAAGAAATTTGCAAGCTCGTCGGCGGATGACACATGAGGAAATAGAATTGTCTTATCCTTGATAACTTGTTGACGGACAAAGTGAGCGTCGATCTCAATGTGTTTGATCCTCTTATAAAATACTGGATTATTAGCAATCTGGATGTCACTCTTATTATCACAGTATAGAGGAGCAGGAGTCGAAACAGAAATACCAAAATCATTGAGAAGACGACGAAGATGAATAATCTCTTTAGCTGTTGTGGACATTACACGATACTCTGTCTCGGTGCTGGAAAGAGCAACAACATATTGTTTCTTACTCCGCCAAAAAATTAGGGAATTTTTAAGAAATATACAATAACTTGTGGTAGATTTCCTGGTAGTGGGATCACCAGCCCAATCAACATCAGAATATGCACAAAGCTCTGACTTGGATGTAGCAGGAAACAGAAGAGAGCGAGTGCTAGTACCCTAGAGATAGCGAAGAATCCGTAATAAGGCAACATAGTGTACAGAACGTGTGGTACTAACAAATTGACTGACAATGCCAACAACATGAGAGATATCTGGTCGAGAGATGCATAGATAGACCAACTGACCAACAAGATGTCAATATCGGGTAGGATCAGATAGAGGCTCATCATCAGTAGAGCAAAGTTTAACATTCTGTTAGAGTGGAATATTGACAGTTGCATCGTCAGTTAGCTCAGTTCGATCTAGAATATTCGAGAGATATTTTTGTTGAGACAGTAGTATACCCCGCGGGCCTTGAGAAATTTCTAGACCAAAAAATACCGAAGAGATCCAAGATCCTTCATGTAGAACTGTTGTTGCAACTGAGATTTTGTGTATTATATACCAGTCACATCATCACCTGTAATGATCATATCATCTACATAGATGAGTAATAAAACTCTGCCACGTGATGTAGTGCGAACAAACAGAGAAGCACATAAAGCTCGCATTGAGCACGACATCGCGAAAACACTCAAACCAAGCGCGGGGTGCCTACTTGAGACCATAAACAACACGACGAAGGAGACAGACATATCCCTGAGGAATATTGGATCCTGCAGGCGGTTACATATATATTGTCTCGGATAAAGAGCCATAAAAAAATATTTTTAACATCCATCTGGTATAAGGGATAACGATGAGCAACAACGATCACAAGAAGAGTACGAACGGTGGGCATCTGAGTAACAAGAGCAAATGTCTCCTCATAATCAATACCTTATTGCTGAGTAAAACCTCGAGCTACTAAACGATCTTTCCGACGTTCAATGATGCCATCAGGACTATACTTGACCTTATAAACCTATTTACTGTCAACTAAAGAGATGTCAATGGGACATGAAACAACATCCTATGTATGTGTTTGCTGAAAGGCCTGAAATTTCTCAACCATAGTCTGTCGCCACTCTAAAAATTGAACGGCCTCTTGAAAGGACTTTGGCTCAACTGTAGTATGAATGGTGGTAAAAAAATTATGAAAGATAGATGAATAGGAAGTAACCGAAGCATATCGTGCAGGCATGACATGTGGGCGTTTGCGAAGAGCAAGAGGAACCTCAGGCGGGAGAGATGTTGGCGCAGTTGCATGGAGGTCAACAGTATTTTCTGGAGTGGGTGTCGTGTCTACGGGATAGGGATCAGATGGTGGAAGAGAAGGCTCGAGTGAGGGAGAGTCAACAGAAGGAGATGAAGAGATTTCAGGGAGATCTCAAAAGGAGAACTGAAGTAAGGAAGTGGGTGATGCAGCTGACGGAGAAGCACGATCAGTAGTGTGGAGGAAATTGAAATCATCAGAAGCAGAATAAAATGGAGAATCCTCTTCAAATTGAACGTGTCGAGATATATGAACTCGACGAGATGTGGGATCATAACAATGATAACCTCGATGTTCTGAACTAATTCCTAAATAGACACAGAGAACAGCTCTGAGAGATAATTTATCACGTTCGTGAGATGACAGAAGAACGAAACAACGACAACCAAAAACGTGGACCGGATCATAATGGGGAGGATGAGTATAAACACGACTATGAGGAGTAGCACCGGAAAGAGAGCTAGATGGAGTGATAGTATAAACACGACTATGAGGAGTAGCACCGGAAAGAGAGCTAGATGGAGTGATATTAATGGCATGAGTAGTAGTGAGAATGGCCTCAGTGAGTAGCACCGGAAAGAGAGCTAGATGGAGTGATATTAATGGCATGAGTAGTAGTGAGAATGGCCTCAGTCTAGAAACGACGAAGAACAGAGTAAGGAATGAGTATGGATCGAGCGATATCGAGAATATAATGATGTTTGCGTTCAGCAATATCATTTTGCTCATGAGTGTAGGGACATGACTGTTGAAAGATAGTCCCATCAGAGGACATGATAGAGCGCATGGTAGAGGATAGGTACTCTTTGGCACAGTCAGAACAAAAAACTTTAATACGAGCTTGCCATTGAGTGAAGATCATTGCAGTGAAGGCTTGATAAGCAACAAGTACGTTAGAGCAATTTTTAAGTAAGTAGACCCATGTATAACGAGAGAAATCATCGATAAAACTAACATAATATAAGTAGCTAGATGAAGAAGGCAGAGGAGCTGACCCCCAAATATCAGAATGAACCAAATCAAATAAGGAAGTGGAAACAGATGTACTGGTTGGAAACGGTAGAACAGTGAATTTAGCCAATTTACAACCAGTACATGACTCAATATGAGAATGAGAGGATACGGGACCAAGTACTCCAGACTGGATAAGACTTTCCAGCCTTTTATGAGACACATGACCAAGTCGTCTATGCCACAAATCTGCGGAAAGCAAGTGTTTGTTGGAAAATTCAAAGAAGACAATTGAGAATATGATTTATTGTATTATCTCTTTAACTAGTTTAGAAAAAGAATGAATACAATTCTCTCAATACAATTTCTCTCTAACTGATTTAGAAAACAAAAAATTACAATTTTCTAGTATCGGATTCCCGATTTACAAAAGAGAAGAAGATCGACCGAGATCCTCCACTTTGTTTAAGTATGGGTTCTTCACGGTAGCGATGAGATACCTCCCTCGACGTTCGTATCGAGTTTTCTTCTCGTTGATGATCCGACCATATCGCTTTGTGGAACGTGGTTGATTCCTCTTGATTGACGTTGAGGATAACTTGTGTGGCAAATTTGAAACTCTGAACGAGTTAAAGAACTCTGAACGAGTTTAGAAGAACTTGCAGAGTATGTTTTAACTTTGATCGAGTTGAGAAGAACTCTTAGAAAGAGTTCAAAAATCCAAGCCGAGTAATCTCAAAGGCTTCAATAAAAGCCTTCCGAGATGATCCAAGAGTTTCTCCAAGTTGCTGATCTCCAAAGCTCCAGATCGAAGATCCTAAAAAGCCAGCCAAAGATCTCTTCTTTGCTGCCAAGCCGAAGGACCCGAACTAAGTTGATTCCCCAGCTATTTATAGAGGATTAAGGGGTGTAACCGCCCCCTTAATTCTCTCCATAATAGGGTTGAATGGGGTGTAACCGCCCCCTTAATCCGCTCCTAAGTGGGGCAGAAATCCCTCAATATGGGGAGAAAACGGTTTCTACAACCGTTTAGCTCATGTTTGACTAAGTCAAACGCTCAGGTCGGCGTTCTGGGCCCTAAGTCTGTGTCTTTCGCTTGAGACGCAGAGTTAGGCATTTGCCTAATGTTGAAACGCAGAGGTCGCTCTGCGTTTTGAAGCTGGAACACAGAGTCTGTTCTATGTTTTGAAGCCGAAAATGCTGTGTTCGCACATCATTATGAATCTGAAATGCAGAAATGAACTCTGCATTCTGGACCTGGGACGCAGAGTTGGGCTCTACATGAACTTTGCGTTTTGAGTCTTCAAACTCTGTGTTTTGTCGTAAAGATGAACTCTGCGTTTTAACTCTGAAATGCAAAATCGAGCCTCAGGAGGGCTTGGCGAGCTTCAGGCTAAGTCCAATGTTCAGGCGAAGTCCAATATTGTAGACGGACTTCAGAATATAACTTGGGTTTGAGAGATATCTATGTTTTGATTTGAA